AAACATTACAATTGCCAAACAAATTAATAGTACTTAATATGAAGTATGAATAAAATAAAATACCAAAAAGAATACAACAGGGGAGCTAAATAGTAATTGTAGGTACCTTTGTAATAAAAAAACTGTTATTTCCAGATATAATAAATAAAAAAATTACGGTGATTTTTAGATTTAAGATTGAGATTAATTTTGCATTTGCCAAAAATAAAAAAAAAATATTATTTATTTTTTGACAGTTTCTAAATATATGATAACAATAACATTGTTTCGTCGCATTTATTTTTTTTTTAGAGAACCCAACAACTATAAACAACATGAAATACTTGCTAATGCTATGCCTCTTTGGAGTAATAATTATGGGAATTTATTCCCAAGAGAACGTGGTAAGGATTAAAGAGATAAGGTTTCATAATATACATATAGGTTTATACATTTTTAAAAATTATAAAATAGAGATTAATCTTTAAAATTAAAATTAGGAGTAAACATAGCTTTAAAACCTATTGAAGTGGTATCTTATTAGATCTTACATATTCAAAGCTCGTTTTTAGTTTTACGATTTCATTTTTATTTAATATTGTTTTTCGTTTCTGTTAGCCTGATAGTGTTATTTCGTATTTCATGCATTAATTCGTTGCTCCGCGATGTATGGAATTTAAAATAACTGCACCATCTCAAAAGTCAGAAAATTGTCATAAACAATTACACCCATTAATTGGTCAGCGATAGATATTTTTTTATCGATCTTCTTTAAACTTTAGTACTATATATTTTATAAATAAAAATAATTAAAGTATAGTCAATTAGTCAGCTGATTGTGAAACAAATAATTGGTCAATCAATATTTTTGAAAAAAATAATTAAGTAACGTCAACTTTAACGCGTATTATTTATATCATACTTGACTATCAATTTTTAAATATTAGCTGAAATAAGAAGAACTGTTACGTTCACTTTATAGTCACGACTCGTGGTTCATGAGCTTACATATTTTTCTTAAAAATACGCTCTTGTAGCATACAACTGACTTTTGAAAGATAATTATGCGTGAATCGTGGTAAAAATACAAACAAACGTATAAATTACAACCTGACCCAAAATCGAGATCGGAACTACCCGGACGGGATGCCGTACTATTTTATTGAGAGCTTTACACGATTTTCCTGATTTAAGGGAGGAAAATTTAAGCTCTCAAATAAGAAATTGTATTTACTGTTTATTAGGAAACTATTTTTACATCCTTAATTTAAAAAGAATGCACAACAATATTGTATTCTAATACACTAGTAACAAAAAAAATGTAGGCATTGAATTTCTAGTTTCTCAATAAAACATTGATAATACCGATAAAATCCTCATTTTCAACTTCTCAATGTTGTAGGATGAAACGGTGAAGGTTTGAAAAAATAAATCATTTAGGACTTTTTAGTAAATTGTTATTTTAGTAAAGTTTTAAATATCTTTTTTAATTTTTTTTAAGATAATTCCAATACCCAGAGTATATGAAAAAGAAAATATTCCAGCAAGCCAAATGATAGATGTTGCGGAATTTCTAATGTCGATATCCGAAATACCACCAGAAGCAATACAACCATTACAAGCTGATGTGAATCAAAAANTTATTTTATCTTAAAAGTTACCAGTAGCAAATATAAAGACTGGAAAAACTTGTAGAACAAACAAAATAGCTCAAACCCCAACGCCAAAATACGTCCCTGAAGAAGGTAACTTTGTTACCGAAAAGTGCTTCGGACATCTATGAAGTGTCGTATTTTGACGTTGGGGTTTGAGCTATTTTGTTTGCCAGTAACAAATTACTAGACAGCAAAGTACTAACAAAACATGTTTCAAACAATAAAATTGAAATAGGATTTAATAAATTGCACTTTTAAAAAAGGGTTGTTATGAACTGGGCCTTTGTCTAATATTTCAGTTAGTATTAATAGCAAATAGTATACGCTAGAATAGAAGACGTTATTTAAAAATATTTAAGATCTGATTTGCTACGAATATTTGGGGATAATTTTTCCCATATTAAAAAAAAAAAAAGCAAAACCTTTATTAGAATTACTTCGTTGCGCATCTGCTCAAGGTGATAATTTTCAATTTTTACAAGAAATGTAGAAATGGAGTATGAGTCATTTTGCGGATTCCCATGAGTCAGGAGTCCAATCCAAATTTGAATATTGATTACATAGGAGCCGTAATTAGTAATTACAAATCCCTCGATTACGCAGCTACTAATTTTCGTTAATAATCTAGTAAAATTAGGTTTTTATTTTCTAAAAGATTAGTTACTATTGTTTTTTAATCGATTTATTTTAGTTTAGAAAAAAATATTAAAAAAGGAGTACGAAATCACTGTTGCTTACAAAATTATTCAAGGCTAAAATTCATAAAAAATGTTTTTTTGCAAATATGGCTAGAGCCACAGAAAACGCAACATTCTGAAAAAGCGGTTTTTTTTAAACTTTAACCTTGAATAATTTTTTAAGCGACAATGATTTTGTGTTCAATTTTTAATAATTTCTTTAAAACATCAAAAGAAAAAAGGTTGGTAAATAATTTTTTAGAACAGAAATCCTTTTTAAATCTAAAGTGACTATTATAAAACACATTTAATCTTACAAGCCTCTGCTGCGCTTTTAATTGATATGGTTGATAAGGTACAGAACGCTCGGTGGAAGAATCAAACTCCCACTTTCTATTGTTTTTAAGATGCGATAAGCTTATTAATTAGATACTATTTGTCAACTTTTTAAATTAGACTATCTGAAACAAATCCTAATGTAACTTATACAACATTTCTTTTTGAATAATTAAACCAAAATTACAAGTGGAAATTGACTTTTTTTTCTTTAAAACTTAGAACTGTATAATTTTTCAACAAACACAAAAAAAAACTCTAATACCTGGAATAGCTGCCGCGGGCTCTAATTAGAGCATGCTTTGAATTACGCTATCCATAATTTCTTGAGGTAAGTTGTCGCACTCTTCCACTAACGCCAATTTCATGTCTTTGACGTTATTAGGGGCGCCATTGAGCGCAGTTGATTATTGTGATAATAAAATATGTAGAACATAAATTTGTTTAAAAAACCGACTTTTTTGCGTTCCCCTATGTTTTTGTATATTTCAGAAGTAAAAAAGTAAACAGTTTCACCAATGCCGTAGAGATATTTTAATGTTTACCTTTCAGCTTTTTATTACGCTATACATATAAATATTCTTAAACATTAGTGCTAAAACTATTCGAAAAACAAAATTAAAACCTACAATGTTAAATTTGACGTTTGTCTAGAAAATAATATGTATACAGGTAAGGCAAATTGTTCATCGAGCATAGAAATTACACATTTTTTTCTTGGATTTTTTTTTTATGTGCGGAAATGTACGAAGGCTAGAAGGGCCAAACATTTTTTTGAAGTGAAAACTTCTTTAGCGACGTTGGGCACTTTTTGGCAGGGGAAAATGTTATGGGTTCGCGTCACCGACATGCTCACGACTGGCGCACGCGCAGCAGCCGTGTGCTGTAGGCGTTAGACGCTTTTTGGATGGGTGAAATCTAGTGCGTTCGCGAAACCGACATGCTTGTAGCAGTATATATCTGAGTATATCTGTATCTATACAGAGATTTGTTGAAATTAATGATGACAATGATGCAAACAATGTTAAAAATCAAGTACATTGAAATTTATGTAAATATTTGAATAATAAAAAACCATATAAACATGCATATAATTATTGCTCGGAGTGTCAATAGATGTGAAAACCAGATTGATGTTGATAATTTTTATTCAAACATTGTGAAATTTCAAATTTTAATACTAAAAGTTCTAAGTTTTCACTTCTATCGGCAGTCCCTATAACTGCCAATTTTTTTTT